TCAATGGGCTAAAGTCTGTTTTTATAAACGAATTGCTATTATAAACTTTTAAAATATAAAAGTAGAATAGTTTAAAAAACTCTTATAATTTTTTTTCTTCTTTGCATTAAACATATTAAAAACAGATTACACTTTCTAATTAGAGAACTAGAGATGGAACTAAGAGAAGAAATGAAATTAATGTGTCCCCGCACACCTATTATCTAGAAACCAGGATTTACTCACATTGTGTCCTTTCTCAGAGCTGTGGTGAGCTGCAAGGAGCAGCGCCCTCTCTCCAGCAGCTTGACCCAACTGAAGATTCTCCACCCATCTCTTATTGCATATTTTAGGTGGAGTTGTAAGGCATGAGAAAGGTGGTCACTTCTGTGCATTCAAGAATAATTTTGCACTTTCAAGAAATTTTCCTTGAAGATGCCATGTCTGAAATAGATTCCAAAGATTGCTCAGAAAGAAAAGGTATGAAAGCTCATGCATTACATTTAGCAGCACAAAACATTGGGTAACAATTTCAAAAGCTCAAACAAAGGGTTCTTTTTCCATTGAGTTATGCAGTAAATAAGAATTTTGTTGCACATACATGCATGTTTACAACTTTCAAAAGTCACATCCTGCCACAATTAGCAGTCAAATGAGTACTCGTGGCCTCTGACCTATAAATAAACACTCAAGTCTGCAACTTGCTCACAGACTGCTAAGAAACACTCAAAACTGCAACTTGCTCAGACTGTTCTGGGGGGAGAAAAAAAAAAGGCCCTCAAACTCATTAAAAATCTGCAAACCAGGAATGCATTGCAGTTGTCCAACAAAAATCTATATTAACTTTTTGAATAATGACTAAGGAGAACTAACCCCCATTTCCACAATTAAACAGCTCTGTGTTAATATTGAAGAAGGAATAAAATCGTCTTTAGGAAGTCTGTGGCTGCTCACAATGGCACACAGCCCTCAGATTCAGCCTCTCAGGGCTGCTTCCTTCAGTCTGTCTAGGCTGGTTTGCTTTTTGTCAGGTGTTATATGTCAGGGAATTTTGGCAATCCTTCAAGAAAATAATTCAAAGGGTGATTTGCAATTGGCTAGTGCTATTCCCTAATACCTTTTTTGCCTTATGCTTCTAGGAACATAGGAAGGACATTAAATCAGGGGTAAAGTATAGCACTCCAGATATACCTGGACTGTCGTGCACAGGTAAAAAGCTGCCAGGTAGAATCCCTTGCTTGCCTATTTGAAAGCTAACACTGTGAGTGTTCCATGCTTTTTAAGGAACAAAATATAAAATTAATGTGGAATTGTCCATGGTTGAAATTGCTGCCCCATACTTACTGGCTGTTTGAATTTCATCCTCCTGGGTCTTCCCTCCCCCTGCCTTCTTCCTACCTCTTACATCTTTTTCTTTATAATTTCCTCCAAATTATTTTTTCCTAAGACAGTTCATAGCTTACAACAGAAACATCTTAAAAGAGGGAACTAAAGATCATGAATTAATCTTAGTTATTCTTTGGAGATGTAAGCACATATAAGCTTGTATTTCTAAATTTAATTATGCTAGCTATGAAATCCACATAACATCATCACAGTGTAGACACGAGATGAACCACAGTCCCAAAGTGATTGCTGTGTCTTTATTAATTAGAAGGGATGATTTTTTTTAACTTTTTATGTCTACATGCCTTCTATCCCTTCACCTAGATTGTACGTTACATTTTCAGGTATCTTAACCATAAAATTCACATAGGCCTAGGAGCAGGCAGAAAAAAAACAGAAAGAAAAAAGAAATAAACTGATTATCAGTAGACTAGCATGTCATTGAATTAAGACCCTATGCATTGCTTTGATGCTAACAGAAAAGGAAAAAGAACCAAACTCAGAGGTTTAGAACAGTTGGCTTAAGGCCAAGGTTAGAGGGTGGTGCCTGGTCAGAGGGCCTTTCTGGTGTTCTTTGTTCTGTCAGGGGACAAAGGGTAACAGCTGTCATAATATGCATAGATACGTGCCCAATGTCTTATATGTATAGGTGCTGTAATGTAATGACCACTTAGGGATCATTAAAATCAACTCAAAGGACACTGACAGAGTAAAGCCAGTAGTGGTATAGATTTCAGGGGATGAAGAACATTCCAAGATGATAATCATTTAAGTGACTGATAACATTTTAAGATCTTATAATTGAATTTCAAGGATAGCCATCTTACTTTATTTTACATTCAGAGTCAATTAAAGATGTGTATATATGTATGTCTCTGTGTGTATATATAAATATGTTTATATTGGATTGTGTGTGTGTTTGTGTGTGTGTGTGTGTAGAGAGAGAGAGTCCAAGTAGTACAATTAGTGTCTGTGCTTGTCCAATATTCATAGGCATGCAAATTAGCAAATACAATTGAGTACACACTATCCTCACATCCTAATGCCATTTAACAAACTTAATTCTGTCACCCTGGACCAACAGTATAGCCTTGAATGGAGATAATGCCTACTGTACCTGTCTGCTACCATAGCCTTGCACCGATTAACTAAAGTAATGAGAGATTTAAAGATAATAACTCCGGTATATAATTGCTGTCAGCCTTCAGAGTCAGCACCCAATTCATAAAAAATTCACCTCCATCCCCAAATGCTTCATTTGTTGAAATGTTCCCCTAAAGTGTCATGATGGATTAGACTAAATGGTTTTTCACTGCAAGCACTTACAGGCAGGATTTATGAATTGAAACAAGCAGAGGCCACTCTAGGTGGCTCTGTAGCCCCACACTTTCTTCCTGGGCTATATATAGAAAGTGTATGGCCAATGGAAAAGAGCACATTTATTTTTACAAGTCAGTCATGACATGACCCAAGAACTCACTTCCACTCTCTGGCAAGGTCATTCACTTCACCTGAGGGTGCAGCTGTGAGAAGGACAGGGAAGCCAGGAGCCTACTTTAGCTGAGGAAATTAGCCTGAGTCAACCCAAGATCAGCCCACGGGGTGACAGGCTCTAAAGTCAAACACCTCCATTTTTCAGGCATGACTATGGTGCTGCTCCTTGAGATCATGACTAACAAGTAAAAATAAAATCCATTACATAATATGCTTCAAAATTCTACTCCCAACATAGGTTGTACAGAGATAATGAAGTGCATTCTTATTTAGCATTTGTCCTACATTTCAAACAGCTGAATACAATAAGGGGACACTGAATTTTAATTGATGTGGCAAAATGGAGAGTGTGAAAAAATATTTTTAAAGACATTTTATTCTGATTGCCATCTTATCCCTGAATATGTTAATATACCTGGATAATTCCACACAAATGTGGAAATTTAGTAAATATTTCATTCTAAAACAGAAATCCAATTGTAATTTAGCAAATAACATATACAGTTTCACAAATTGCCCCTGACCTTATATAGTGTATACAATAGCTATCTGTATACATGAAGTGGAGTCAAACCACTGTTTTCAAGCAAAATATCTTTTGTCTATGTCATACGTGGTGTACAAAAATAGTCCTGAAAGGGAAAGGGAAAGTGGAGGAAGGATAAGGAGAGGAAAGCCAGTCTTCATTCTCTCTGGAACATACTGGATGCTGAAACCTTCGAAGGGAAAAGTATGTCATCTTACTGAGCTCATGTATCATAATCACCTGAAAATGATATGAGTATAATGTTATCCTCAAATGGCCTCTCCTTCATGATAAAGACACAGGGTAAGAAGAGAACTCTATGGATCCTAACATGTCCAACAAAATTTTAAATGACAAATTCAGATTTATTTCTTGTTCTTAAAAACTCATCAATCCTTTCAAGAAGTCTGTCTCTTGAAAGTTCCTTCTGAAAGGGACAGTCCTCAATTTCTTTCTTTAACTTCCAACCCAACATTTTTGGGGGCACTAGAAGAGATAACAATGACATGCAAATAAATTTGCATGCGGAAATATACTCATTTCCACAGTTGTTCTCCAACACATGCACAGAATTAAGTTACAGATGAAGAAGAACACCCTGGACAGATCAAAAATACTCTGTCTCTGTAACCTATCAGAAAACTCCTTGCACTTGGCAAAGGATGAGATTCTGATACCCATCAGCAAACATGCAAAGGGTATTTATGACCCCACTAAGAGGTTCTAGATTAAATACGGACTTATATAAAATTAACTTCTGTGTGCAAATTAACATACAATGATACTGGTTCCTCCAGGGAATTGTGCCAAGCCTCTGTGTTTACAAATATAGTGGCAGTTAAAACCATAAAAAAATAGCAATCTTTTTAGGAGTGCCAGCCTACCAGTACAGAGGTAAATGTTCATCTCCCTTATGTGCTTGATCTAAATTATAGCTACTCTGAGTCTCTTCATTCAATAACTTACTGCTTTGAGTCTTAACTGAAAGGACTTGCTAGGAAGTATGATAATTAAGTCACCCTTAGTGGTTTTTGTTAAGAGTTGCTACCTCAAGAACAGGTTAGGGTAGTATTTATAAAAAATGTCTTAAATAACACTGGTCAGCGGAGTGGTTAGGAAGGATGTCAGGGATATGTTCCCTAATCCTTCAACAATTTAGGGTACCTGCCATTCATTCCCATGGTCTGGATCCAAATGAAACTTCAGCGTTTAACCATGCAAGTATAACTGAAAAAGTTTAGGTACAATTCAAGTCACATGCCCCTGACTTTCATAATATAATTGCCTCATTTACTCTTGAGTATTATATTTTAAATTTTAAGCAAGGCTAGATGGCATCAGTATGGACCAGTGATCTCACTTTTTCCAATGGATGCATTAGGAACCACAGCCACATTAGTGGATGGCTCCTTTTCTTTGTAGAGAAACCAGAGGCTCATGTCACCATAAGCTACTCCTGGTCCTAGCAACAACTTACAACAGACACCATCTTCCTTCCCTCCTGGGTGAAATACTAAATTTTGATTTGATTTGTAGTAAAGACAGACAAGCTTACTCCTACTGCTCTCCCCATGCAAAAAAACAAAAAACAAAAAACTGTGTTGAGGACCAGTCATTTGGGCATTGCTTCAAAAGGCACATTTATTCCAGTGGCAATTTAAATAAGTAGAGAAGGAAAGAATAAGATTCAAAACAAAACTAAACAAAAATAGGATGGTTTTTGTGAAATACATCAAAGTAAATAGGAATCTTGGATCTGTACAAACCACCAAGTTTCTCACCAGTAGTTTAACCAGTGTCCCCAAAGTAGAATAATTCACAGTTGAATCATGACACACACAGGCCATCAGAAAACACTGTTTAAAAAAAGTAGTTGAGAATTCTCAAGCAGCTTGCCCTGACGTCCAGTTCAAGTGTATGCAATGCAGAAGGTCTGCAAAATTCAAAATTACATGACAAAGAAAAATCAGTGCATATCAGAAGCTTCCGTAAATTATGAAAAATCATTGTATATATTAATATTTAAATAATATCTGAGAAGCATTTTGAAATAATTAACTTGTGTTCACATTCCATGCATTTTCTAGCAGGTTAAACCCTGGATTTGTGTCTTCGTGCCGGTTTCCTACAAAGCTCCATTCTTTTGACAAATCCAAGCATTCCTCAGACTGAAATGCAAGTACCCAGGGATGTTGTCTTCTTAATCTCTTTACTTCATACCTGACTTCACAGGGGCTACTTGTTATTACCGCTGGCACAGAAGATGACTGGAAAATTGAACTGCTTGGGGTTTTACTGGGGATTTTATGTACTGCCTTTGAAAAATCCCTGGGTGTCACAGACACCACCTGATTTTTGTCCAGGGGCAACAGCCAGGAGCCCTCTTCCTCCTGCTTGACCTTCCTCCCTCTTCCAAAGCCCCAAGCTCACTGAGACCCCCTGTCACCCTGGACTTCTCCCTGGAGTTTTGCAGCACCCTCCTCGGGCAAAGAAGGAAACACAACAAAACGTGAAAAGAAATCAACAGTAGCAACAACAGAAACTCCAAACAAACAGGTGGACGAGCCAGCAGCCTCCTCCGAAGCAGAGGCTCACTTTTTACTGCTGAATTCCGTGTGGCTCAGGAACTTCCTGATGACCAGCCCCAGACAAACCACCAGCAGCAGCATGTAGCCCACGGTGCCCGAGAAGGTGGGTGCGGCAGGGGGCGCCTTGAGAAACTGGCGCAGGCCCTCCTCCACGTAGTACACCTGATCGTAGATGCTGAGGAAAGTGAAGATGTGGAAGAGCTGGTGGCTGTGACCGATGATGTCAAAGAGGCCCGGCTGGATGCGCTCGGGGATCTTGCTCACGTTGAAGAAGGCGGCCACCACCAGCCAGAAGTAGCGGCGGTAGAAGTGCACGAAGAGCGTGGGGTTCTCGCCACGCAGGTCAAAGAGCCAGCTCTCCAGCATGATGGGGCAGGCCATGCTGAGCGGCATGACGAAGACGAAGGTGCGCAGTGCGAACGGGTAGGAGCACCAGTCGGTACGGCTCTTGCAGCAGGCCACGGTGCAGGCTACGGCCAGCACAAAGGCCACCGGCAGCACCAGCGCGCGGTAGGCGGCGATGAGGCGCGTGCAGTCCACGTGCCAGCCCAGGCGCTGCTGCACGTAGGGAGTCATGACCCTGGCGTCCAACAAGCTCAGGCCAGGCAGCAAGTAGTAGTAGTAGGCCACCGTGCTGCCGAAGCCATAGTAGCTGATGGACGCGTAGTCCAGGTAGAAGAAGGCTGCACGCAGGCGCAGCGACAGGCAGCTGAACACGTGCGCCGTGCAGCTCATGGCGAAGGTCAGCAGCACCCCCGAAGCGTAGCACCACAGCGGCAGCAGCCAGGGGTGGTGGAAGGGCAGGTCGCCGCCGCTCAGGAAGAACAGGCGGTAGAACTTGCTCAGGAACAGCAGGAGCGGGATGAAATGCGTCCAGAAGTTGAGCGTCTCGTTCGTGGGCTTCAGCACCGAGGCCAGGCACTCCTGAGCCGTGCACGGAAGGCGCCGGTAGCCGGACAGGATGAAGCACTCCACGAAGTCGTCGGGTACCTCGTCCCAGCGCAGCAGCGGCTTGGCCGCTGCCGGCGAGTCCCCGGAGGCGGCGGGGCGGGGGCGCGCGGCGGCCTCGGAGGCGGGCAGGTCAGGCGGGCCCTTTGCGCCCGCGCCCCGGGCGTGCAGGCGCCGCGGCATGGTGCCCAGGGCCGGCTCGGGCGCGCACAGGCGACCTCTGGCGCCGGCTCCCGCGCGCTCGCCAGCCCCCGCCGGCCGCCGTCGGAGCCTTTGTGCCCGCGCCGGGGGCGTCGCGGCGGGTTCCCGAGCAGACCCGAGCCTCCGCGCAGACGTCCCTACGATAATAAACGCATAAGCAAGCAATTCAGACGCGGAGCAGCGACGGGCAGGAGCGCGCGGGGCTGGGCGGCCCCTCCGTCACGCTCCCGCTCCCGCTCCCGGCTCGCGGCCGCGGGCGCTGCGGACTGCGGCGGTGGCGCTGCTGCTGCTGCTGCTGCTGCTGCTGCGGTGACTGGGCATCGCGCGGTGCGGGCGCCGCCGCCCCCGGCGCGGGAGGCGGGGATGCGCGCGGAGGGCGGGCGGGAGGCGCGCCGAGGGAGGCGGGGGCCTCCGGGGCTAGGGTTTCGCGGCCGCCTCGGGGGACAGAGTCGTCCCCGGGCTCGAGTTCCGCACCATCCCCCCTCGGGCCGCCGCAGCCCGAGCTGGCCCGTTAATCATTGATGCGCCGGCCAAAGGCTGCGCCAGCGATTCGCTTGCGTGCGCCCAGGACGAGGGTCGGCGCCCGGTTGGGAACCGAACAGCCACGCTGCCGTTCCAGAGGAAACCCGGGAGCTGCCTTCGCTGGCGGGCGGAGAGCTGCGGTGGCGGGGCTTGAAGGGAGAAGGGGAGGGCGCCCCGCGCACCGGAGCCCAGCGGGGCGGAGAGATGCGCTAAGAGTAATCTCCGGAGGTGGCCGGGGCGCGGACGCTCCGGAAATCGGGGGGGCTAGGAGACTGCGTCCGGATCAGGGCCGTGTCACCGTCGGATACCTGGGTCTGCTCCTCCCGCCCCCCTCCGCCCTGTCAGTGCGCGCGTGGAGGGCTGGGGTAGGGGGAGTGGGGAAGGTGCGCGCGCCCGACTCTCGCTCTCGGCGCCGCCTGGAGCCGTAGTTTGCCTCCTTTCGCCTAGTGGACTTATTCAGGTGCGTCACTGACCTCCCTTCTCCCGCTGTCCTTGTCCTGTCTAAGTGAACCTTCCCAAAGCCGAGGTCGCGCTCACCAGCCCTCGGGGCCGCGGTTCACTGTCCTCTGGTTCTTGTCTGGAGCCCCAAGTCTGACAACTCAGCGCGGGCTGCTTAAACTTCACGTTTTAATGAAAATTTCCAGAGGAAGTCTCCTATAGTTGGAGGAATTGATTAAGAAGGGGTTCCTAAGAGCTTGTGCTGATCATAGTGGAGCACGTTGATGAACGAGGACATCAGGGAGGAGGTGCATTCTAGAACGAACTGAAAAAGAAGGAGAACGAATTTGTAGAGAGTAAGAAGGGATGGTTTGGAAAAAACTTATGCATAATTAACCAGGAGTACCTGGCAGGCTAGGTTGGATGGCTGGAGGCCAGAAGAAGGGAAGACTGAAGAACAAAAAAAAAAAAAAAAAAAAACGGTTGTGATGTACTGCAGTTTGAAGATAAGCTCCGGGTCCTTATTTTAAAAGTGGACTAAAAATTCTGTTACCATTTCACAGAAGTTCTCTTTAGTGATGCCTTGGGAATGTTACTAAGTCTAACTTGCATCACTGACCTGCTGTGTAGCGTCATGGCAACAAGAGCTGACTTCTAAGAGACCAGGCACTGTTCATTCTTAGCACTGTACAGTTTTTAAATCATGGTGGCAATATTTTTCCCATTTTACAGGCTAGAAAATGAAAGCGCTCCGACATACCCATTTTTTTTTTTAAAGGGGTATTGAACCCAGGCAAGCTACTTCTAGGTCTCATGTACGTAATCCCAAATGGCTGATGACATGCTTTGCTCAAAAGAAACTGGTAAGGAAGGACAATCATATTTAGGCAAAGACTTTCATTTTTATTTTATAAATGAAAGGCTAATTTCACTAGAGTAAATCCTGTAAGTAGGTCAGGGAATATTTCCTTAGTAGTGACTCAATAAAGACTTAAGTTATGGAAAACAAATTTTTAAACCTAAGAAGTCACTCAGTATGGTCAATGTCTAAAATGACTTATCAATATTAAAACTGTCTCTTTAGAAAATGTTTCATCCTCTTCTTAGGGGGAAAATGTTTTCCACTAATAGCTGACAAAACACTCTTACACAATTAGGCCAAAGGTACTGAGTCTTGTGCCTTTCTGAACTATCACAAATTCCTGATTAATGGATTTTAAGTACATAAGCTTTTGCTTTAGTTACTTAACTAGTATTTTGTTTCAGTATTTTACGTTTTTCAAAAACACTGTAGCCTTATTTAAAAGCAAAACCTAATTTCTTCTCACATCTATACTAAGAACCCATGCTAATTTGTGAAAGGGTTAGAATTCAGACATTTATAAATCAAGCTTATGAATGATAAATGTGAATTCAAAGCAGACTAAAATAATTTCTTTTATTACTTGAAACACTCTCTTTGTTACTCTACAAATAACCTGATCTGCACCCTGGAAAAGAATGTTGATCCTATAATAATTCCTACATCTACCAACTTCTTAGTTGCATAATCAGCTCACTTACATAATCAGAGGAAATATAATTGAAAGTTCATATATAGTCAAAGGATGGAAGTTGACTGTAAATGAGTGTGCAAAAACTCTAAATAAAATAATAAATTGTCTTTTTAAAAGTAGTGATGTTGGCTGTGGTAAAATATGGTGTTCTTTAAAAAAATGCATATTTTATAAAGGCATAATATCTGTAGTAACATTCATGTCTTTCAGGCAACCTTTGAGATTTCTGCCTTTCTCTTTTCTCATACATCTCCCCACTATGAGACACAGAATCAACTGATGCTGTGGAGTGTGCTCTAGAAAACCCTCCGGTGCCAATACAAAAAGCTGTCCTTGCTATACCTTGATAAAGCCAAGTGAAAAGGAGCTAAGGAAACAGCCAAGCTGATTTAACTTACATACACATAAAGCAATATGACTTTTCCTTAGTTCTTACTGTAGAATTAATTTTTAAAGTCTTTTTCTTTTTTTTTTTTTTTATAGAGGCATGTTTATTTATTTATTTATTTGTTTTGTTTGTTTGTTCTGTTTACACATGCACTGGGTACAGTCAGAAGCGCGGGAGGGTGAGAGACTTCACCAGAGCCAGAGCGGGGAGCAGAGCAGGCAGAAGGGCCGAAGCACACTGCTGAGGGGAGCAGCGGGCGGCAGGAGAGGTCTGCGCGCCATGTGGGACCCTCCTCCGGTGGCTGGGGAGCAGCCGGGGATCGAACTAGAATTAATTTTTAAATTAAATTATTTTATTGAGATAATGATTTACAACACTGTATGTTTGGGGGGGGGCGCATGAGTTCACACCTCTTCAAATGTATACTATTTTATTCTGTGCCTACCACCAAAACATGCATCTGCCCCCACCATAGTCCATTGCTCCCTTTTCCTCTCCTCTTCCCTCATCTGGTAGACTCAGTTGACAGTCAGATTTCAAGGGTTTGTTTTGGTTTGGTTTTGTCTATTCCTTTTCTTTATTTATAGATTCCATTTTTCTAAGTTTTTTGAGATATAAAAATGTGTGCTCCATAAACCCTGGAAAACAGTCTGCATTTTATGGTTTGCTTTAACTCCAGCAAACTAACTGCCCCTTGTCAGCAAGAGCCATGCTCACACCCCCTGGGTTTGGCTAAACAGATAGAAGCAATGGGCTTCTTGCCATTCCCTGAAGGTGCACTGGGGGATAAGGCATCTTTAAGGCAAGCAAAACTGACTATGAAGTTCCTGACAGCGAAGAATTGCCAAGTATTACGTTGGAAAAGCAGTGTCAGAGTTTACAGCAGAAACCAGCTAGTTTCCTAAGTGAAAGCTGGTCAAACCAAGACTGCAATGTGCTTTGGTAGTTCCAGGGAGGCTCTTTACTTCCTGGCTGAGGGGTCCTGACTGCAAAATGCAGTCATATATAGAAACTGTTACAAGCCTGAGCAAATGTTTTTTCCATTATGACTTGCTTTGGTGACATTCTTACAGACCACCTATAGGTTTAGTTAAAGTGTTTCTATAGTAATAAAATGAGCTATAGAAGTTCCAAGTAAATTTGATGTTCTCTAGTAGGAGACATTGAGCTACTTGTAAAATTTGGAGAGAGAGAGAAAAAAAAAAAAGCTATGCTATATACTAATACTAATACATCTTTTTTTATATAGAGAAGTATTGGTTTTTTTGGTTTCTTTTTTAGCCAATACCAATCAACCAACTAAACAGAGCCCATTATGGACCCAGTATTTAATTGCATCCAAAATTCTGCATAAAGATAACTCTCTTAAGGTTTGGTCTTTCTCCTCAGAATGTTTTATTTATTTGTTGTTTTTATAATTAAATTTTATTTTCTCACATCATTGTTCATTTTCATACAGTATTTTACAGTAATACAGGAATATTACAGTATTTCTTCCCTCAGGTATAATTTCTGTAGTTCTCTGGTGAACCACCCCATAGTCTCTTGTTCTCTTTCCTCCCCTGTTTTGACCCCTCTCGTTCTCTTCCCCTGCTGTATGCTTTAGATCTATGGTCCCCTTTCAAGTTTTGTCTTCTTCCTGACCCTTTGTTTTGTTTCATCTATATTAAACATACAAGTGAAACTATCCAATATTTATCTTTTTCCTTCTGACTTATTTAATGTAGCATAATCCCTTCCTGCTCCCGCCATGTTGCTGCAAATGGCATGAGTTTGTCCTTTGTGATCACTGAATAGTATTCCATTGTGTATATATACCACATCTTGATCCATTCGTCCGCTTTGGGGCATTTAGGTCGTTGCCATATCTTGGCTATTGCAAAAAGTGCAGGTTTCCCTTTGAATTAGTGTTTTTGTGTTCTTTGGGTTGATTCCTAGCAGTGGAATCACTGAGTGATATGGTAAATTCATTTTTAGAGTTTTGAGGAGACTCCACACAGCTTTCCATAGTGGCTAGACCAATTTACATTCCCAACAGCAGTGTAAGAGAGTTTTTTTTTTTTTTTCCCACATCCTCTCCAGCTTTTGTTGTTTCAGGGTTGTTTTTGTTGTTTTTTTTTTTAATATGGACCATTCTCACCAGTGTGA